GCAGTTGACCTGATCAAAAAGGACTTGTGGATGCAGGAGATAACAGTTGACTGGAATACCCTGTGTACACGGAGTGGCTGCAATTTCATCCATAAACTTAAACTCACAGGATTATGTAGCTAACTGTTACAGTAAGGCAACTTATCTCACCTGCTATGCATACATTATTCATCCTTTGAATGATAGCTCTTTATGGACACAAAGTGAGTACACCAAGCCTTTACCCCCAAAGAGCAGAAGGCTACCTGGTAGGCCATCTACTAAGAGGAGGAAAAGTGTAGTTGAAAAGGAGATATCAAGCACACACACAGTATCAAGAGTAAAGCAGGTGCAAAGGTGTTCAATATGCTATGTTAGTGGGCATAAAAAAAATGTGTGCCCAACAAAAAGAATTCCAACAACAAGTGATCCGGTTCCTGGATCTTCAACTCCAGCTCCAAGTCCAACACCAGGATCCACTTCTGCAGCTCCAAGTCCAACACCATGATCCACTTTTGCAGCTCCAAGTCCAACACCAGGATCCACTTCTGCAGCTCCAAGATCTACTCTGGCAACTCCAAGACCAAGATCTACTCCTGCAACTCCAAGATCCACTTCTGCAAGACCAGTTAAAAGTGAAGTTCAATTGAGAAAGAGGAAAGCTTAAGAAAGAATCATCAAACAGTGCCTGAGGAAAAATGTGGTGCCCAAGGATGGTAGTGGTTGTAGTTCAAACAAACCTGTAGATTTGGGTTGATTGTAGGTTTGATGTTGAACTCTTTTTTTTTTTTTTTTTGTTATATATGCATGTGGGGTGTAAGTGTTAGGTAAGCATGTGATGGTCGAATCTTTTGACATTAAATGTAATGTTTTACTAGACTAAGGGACAAAACTATCCAGCTTTTGATGCTATTTTGATGTTGAATGGGACACCTTTTTAAGGGTGTTTGTAGCTATGACAATATTACCCTTTAATATATTTTATGCTTTAAATCTTTAAACTGATTCTTGGTTGTTGAATCATGCACTTTACAGATGTACTTTGCCTTCAATTACTGCTTCTTCCTTTAATATATTTTCTCCTTTAAAACTTTTAACTGGTTCTTGGTTGTTCATTATAATTACTAATTTTGCATTACACTGAGATTGGTTGTTCACTATAATAGCATTTAGATTTCAATACACCATATTAACATTACAATTAAAATTTTCATTACCAAAAGCTTCATTTGCATTCATACATATGATTTCATTACATTATAGGTACCCTTACAATCAAAATAACAAAATTATGGGTACCCTTTATATTCAAAAGACGTCTACTGCATCATAATTCCATTCAACATAATTTAACAAAGTACAATACAAACAAGACAATCAAAGATACTTTATGCCATTTCATCTTCTTCTTCATTTTATTCAGCCATGACTAAGACCCAAAAGTTCCTCTGTGTACGGATCTTCAACAACCCATTCCCAAAATCCACACTTTCTCCCTGTTCTCTATAAAAAAAGGAAAAAGAACAAAGCTTTAGCATAAATGCCATAACTTACACACTTATAACAGAGATTTAAAGAGAGAAAAGGTTCAATCTTCAAAATTGGTCATTACCAACGAATAAGGGCTCTAAACCTTTTTTGCCCAGATTCTGTGGTGTCGTGGAGACTCGAATCCAACTCAGGAGCCCACAATAGCACATGATTCGGTTGTTTGAGGTGGAGGCGATGGAGGCTTGCGACATCTTCTTCAGTTCTTCTTCAACTCTTCAATTTAGGGCACAAGAAAAATAGGACATTGTTTGAGGTGGACTCGGTGGGGTTGTTATAGGCATGCCACCGGACAGGTAAGCTGCCAACTAAGCTAAACAAGAAGCAAACGGTAAAAAGCGTTAAATGTACACAGTAATAACGACCATAATGGTCTAATACGCACAAAAAAAAAAACCTAAGTGACCTAATGATAACAAACAAGAAACCTAATTACCCTCCCAAGTCATTATCCCTTTGTAGTATTTGCTATAATATTAACTATTTCAAATATTTGTATATTTGTTGAACTTTTAGATCAATGAATATCGTTCAAAAAAGAAATTATATGTATAACCGTTAGAAAACGGTCATATTTTCAATGTACTTTGAAAAATAATAACAACCTTCGTATTTAAAATTATCTAAAATAGAGTCGTTGGGCAACGGTCAAGAAATGCTTCTACATATACTTTTTTCTTTCAATATCATATCAGTGCTCTTTCATTTTATATATATTTGTAAAAATTTTGTTTTTTGTTATTCGTTGCCACCATTTGCATCATATGTATATCTTACTATTATACATCATTGGCGTTTCAATACTAGTTGAAAAACATTTCAAATGAAAGTAATTTCGACGCTAAGAAAGTCTCTAAAGAAAGGTGAGAATATAGATAACCTCCCCATCTAGTTTTTTTGCAAAATGTGTCCATGCATTTACTTCATAATATAATATAACATCTACAAATTGTCATATTATTGAAGATGATATGAGTAACTTGTGACGTTACCTCAAAGTTTAAGTCTCGCTAAAGACAATATTATAGCTCTACCTTATATTAACTAACCATTTTGTTTATCACCCCCCATGTGATGGCCATAAGCAAAGTGGATATCATCAACCTATTTCCTTTACAACCATTTATCTATTTTCTTATAAAAATCATATATCTTTACATCAAATTAAAACTAAAACTTAAGTTTATATTAGTTCACATATTTATGAGTAGATGTTTTATGTATACACAATTTACACATTTCTATTGGTATGTTCTTAATGAATTTATCAACATTATAACATTAAATACTTATATGTATGTATTTAAATATTTTTATAATAAATTCTAGGTAAAGAAAAGAATGACTCTAACATGATGATGAATACTTTACAATAAAAAATTTCTTCAATTAGAAAATCAATTGAGATTTATTATATGTCATTTCTCCTACAACTTTTCGAAAACCTAAGGTTGGAATCCAAAAGATATGTATCATGAGAAATGAATTACATCCTGGATTTTCTTCAATATAGTTTTAAATTTTTTGAAAAAATTTATATGGCTTGCCACCTCTAGTTTCATTTTTGTTTGATGTGTGAAATTTGGTAGATTGAAACATATTTATTTGTTTGATGTGTGAATTTTTGTTTGATGTGTGAAATTTGGTAGATTGAAATTTGGTAGATCGAAACATATCCATTAATGATAGTTTTAAAAAAAATACTTACTTAATAGTTGTGCATTATTATTTTAAAGAAGTTGAAAGAAAAAATTCATAGAAACTACCATTACCATATCCTTCCCCTTGCGTGACTTTCTCCCCTCTTTCCTTGACCAACATTTATTTTCATGTGTTGTCCTCACCTATCTCCTTATAATTGTGCATTTTTCAATGACCAGTATAGCCTCACCATTCATTGTTGTTTCTTTTTCATTGATCATTGTTGCGCCGTTGCTTGCTACGATTCTAAGAAACCTCATATCCCTTAAATCATTCTCCTTCATATACAAAGTACCTGAAATTCCTACGTAATCATTTGTTAAGTTATGACTTAGCATATGAAAAGAAAATGCACATTAAGAAATTTACCAAATCAATAAATAAAAAATTATTGGCTTCATTACAAAAATAAGAAATTATGTTATGTTTTCTTGAACGTTTCTCCGTGAATCTGTTATTAAATTCGTAATTCTCATGATCAAAAAGCTTAAAGAAATGTTGGAAGAAAGGAAAAATAAATGCGGAAATTAGTCAATCATATATTTAAACGCATAGTTAAAGAGAAATAATTTTCCTTCTATATCATTCTATTAGACTATATTGATAATTAGATTGTTAGAGCACTACTCTTATTCTGTGATAAACCTTAACATGGAAGCATGTGGTCAATCTTATTGCTTCACCGATTGCAATGGCTAGGAAAGTTTGTATACAAATGATAGTTGAAAAATGGTTAAGGCTCCCATCATTTATGCAACATGTTGAGTAATAGAAATTAAATTTAGCTGGCCATATTAAAACAGGTTTTCCATACGATCAAGTGAAAGACCCAAAAAGAAAACTTGTTTCTCTGCTAGCCATATCACTCAGTTGCATGACTATGATGTGTATTATGATGGCATTGTCTTGTTTCTTTTTATACAAGTTTATGCTCACAGGCCTCAAAGTATAACATAAAATATTGATTTTCGTTTGTTTAGAGAAAATTTTAAGTCACACCTCATATTAGTTGATAAGCTTCTAAAAGCTACAAATAGTTTTGAGGAATCGGTTGGTAGGCATAATTTCTTATGGGAAGTTGACAATGTGAAGTATGAAGAGACAGAGTGGAAAGGTTGTTTGAAGGATGAGAAATCCAAGAAATAAAAATTACTTTTATCACATAAACTCATCATCGTAGCTTGGGTTTTGCATAAACAGGGCTTTGATTTATAAACGACACTGCAACCACGTGGGAAAAATGTTTAAATTGCTTTTAGACAAAATTTCATAATTGGTCATTGTAGTTTACAAAATATCTTACTTTGAGCACTTTCAAGGAAAAATCACGCCACCGGTCCCTATGGATTGCAAAATTACATGAAAAGTCCTCATGCCATTAAATCTAACTTTTCGGCTGATAAATTTTAATGAAAACTTCTATTTTGCCCTTGTACCAAATTTGCAATCTACTACAAACCTCAAGGATCATTTGTGTAATTATGTATATTTGAAATTTTGTATATAAATTATAAATATAAATTTTGTATATATAAACTTTATATTTATTTATTTATACAATTTCAATAATTTGATAACCTTTTTTTTGTCTTATTGACGTTTTGTTTTCTATTTTTATTTTATAATTTTAGTTATTATGGTTTTTTAATGTTTTATTTTGATTCAACTAAATAAACTTAAATTCAATAAACTATGTCGAAATCGGTTTTTCTTTAATTTTTCTTATTTATGAATTGAAACGTTAACGCTATTTTTATGATGTTACGGCTCATGTTTTTTTTACTTTAATGCTACATATTTAATATCATTACCAACTTTATATTTGCATTTATCATTGTCATTAATTCACATTTTTTTTCTATTTTTTTATATAATTTTAGTTATTTATTATTCTTCTATTGATGCTATTTATTTTGATTCACATAATCAAAAATAGAAAAACAAAAAACAAAAACTCAAATAACAAAATTGTAATATACTCTAATATATTTATACATATTATACTTTTCATTTTTTTTTTTTGGTTTGTTTTCATATATTTTTTTTTAACTTTTTCATATTAGTTTTTAATTTTTTTGTTGTTTTTTTTTTCATCAATTTGATAACTTTTTTTGACCTTTTCCAAAAATTATAATATGTATGAATATATTAGAGTATATTACTATTTTTGTGTTTGAGTTTTTTTGGTTTTCTATTTTTTATTATAATTTGGGTTAGTTATGGTTTTTGTAATTTTTTATTTATTTTGATTCGATTAAATAAAATAGTTATATTTACAAATATAAATAAAGAAAATAAACATAAATTTTTTATTCACTCGAATCAAAATAAAAAAATAAAAAAATAAAAAAAAATAAAAAAAAAGTTCAAAAAAACTATAAACAACCAAAATCATTAAAAAAAATAGAAAACCAAAAATCTCAAACACCAAAATTTTAATATAGTCTAATATATTCATACATTTTACACTTTTAGAAAAAGATCGATTTTTTTTATCAAACTCATGAAAATAATACGAAACAACGAAAAAAAAAGAAAAAAAACGAAAAAACGAAAACATAATTCGAAAAAAGCAATAAAATAACATGAAAAAAAACAAAAAAAAAAGATGAAAAGTATAAAATGTATAGTATAATATAGTATATTAAAATTTTGGTGTTTGATTTTTTTTTTGTTTTTCTATTTTTCATTACTTGAATTAAAATAAATAAAAACAATAGAAGAATAATAAATAACTAAAATATATATATGTAAAAAAAAATAGAAAACAAAAGATGACATAATGATAATGATAAATGCAAACATAAAGTTGATAATAATATTAACTATATCGCATCGAAATACAAAATATGAACCTTAAAACTAAAAAATTAACAAAAAAAAAATTAATGTTTGTTTTCAGAAATAAGAAAATTAAAAAAAAAATACACATGGTTTCAATAGTGTTTATAGAATTTAAGTTTATTTATTTGAATTAATATAAACTAGAGAGGAAACCCCGCGTTGCGGGGTTAGAAACAATACGACATAAAATTCCTAAAATACAAATTGATCAAAATTGAAAGTACAACCTTTTCACCTGCAATTTATCCTAATCAAAAATACATATATCCGAAAAAATGTTTTATGAAGTTTATTAAGAATTATTATTTCCACCCAAGCTTATACATCAATCTTATGCATGTTCACATAGTAGCAGTGTACTTTGAAAAAGCAACCAAAATAAAGAGAACTCCCAAAAGCACAATCTTGTAATAGGGAAAATATGATGCTATAATCAAGAAAATATTACATGTCATTCGTTTTAGGAATCCTATTTGTAGTATATCAAATGAAAACAACAAAAAATATGGGGCATGCAGTAAGTTTAATAACCATGTACCTTATGAACAAAATAATCGTTATTGAGAACGTAAGGTGCAAGGTGAATGTTTCATTTCAATGGAGATTAACATAACTACGTCGTACCTCCGGTAACGGAAACTGTGTAGAATAAATTAGGATCCCTCTGCAAGTAAACATGAACAGATTCTCAGTTGGCCTACAAATACAATCACCCATGTCCGTATTATATACGCTGTTTGCATCCCTACAATACCCAAAAATTAAATTCCCAAAACATGCACTCATTTTCCAACACACAACATCCATGTATGTAAGTACGTATAATAATCATTAAAAAAATAAATAAATACCTTCGATATGAAAGGGCTCCTTATCCTGGGGTATGGCTTGATAAGGTTGAGTAACACTTGATTCTAATGTCAATGTAATTCCTGATAAAAGGATCATCCATGATTGTTGTTTTGTTGCTCTCTCACATAAATCATACAAAATTTCTTTTACTTATGTGTATAACCCATGGTGCATGATGTTCAATCTTTTACTTTTTACCTTGAGAATTTTCTCAAATTCCAATATTTCATTACCTTGATATGCTGCAATTAAGTTTATCATAGCCAAGATTTCTCGATTGTTTTTATAGCTGCAGTGTTAAGCTAGCAATCATAAAGGGTAAAACAGTAATTTAAAAAAAAGAAAAGAGAATCCAAGTTTGTGACATACGGTTTCCCCTTTGAGAGGAGGATCTCATAAACCAGGAACTCTACTTTTGTTGCAAGTAAAACCATTCCACCCAATTACCTTGTGCTACTACTGCATTAAATTTCCTATATAGGTTGAGTAAACCGTTTCAACTTTTTTTTTTTTGTTATAACAAAAACCAATCCATTATCTTTAATTTTACTTTTTATCACATAATAAAAAAAAAATTGTATTTGATTTAACAATTAAAATGATGAAGATGTATTAGATAAGGGGAACTGATGTTTAGTTCAAAAGTGTAGGCAGGGATCAGAAAATTAACTTGCTTCCAGCAAGCAAAAACTCAAGGGAATGTAAAAAAAAAAATGAAAGTGCAATACTATATTTGGTTAAATTTTTTCAAAAAATATGAAAATGGAATAATGTGTCTAAAGAAGTTTTTAGAAAAATGAAAATGCATGCTATATTCAGGTAGTTAAAAAAAAAACGAAAATACAAGGGTATATTTGGTAAGATTTTCAAAAAAAAATGAAAATATGTTGTTATATCCAGGCATTTTAAAAAAATGGAAATGAAATGCTATCCTTGTAGCTTTTTAAAAAAATGAAAATGCAATAATGTATTTAGGTAGATTTTAAAAAAAAGAAGGTAGAATGCAATATTCCGGTAGTTTTTCAAAAAGAAAATGAAATGATTTATCTGGGCTATTATAAAAAAGTGAGTATGTAATGCTCTATCATGGAAATTTTAAAAAAAATGAAAATTTAACATGCAACAATCCCCTTTTCACTGGATCTCATCTCATATAAAACTATAAATGTCATGTCATATAAAATGACACATCATAATGAAAAAAAAGGCTTATGTTTTGCATTAACTGTGTGCTTTGGATTTTTTATTGCTTGACCTGAGGATGCATTCTTATATTAATATGCATTCCTTGTTATTATTTTAACTAATTCACTATTCATATATGTAATTGTTACAAAAGTATATTTTAACAATAAGACAACATGATGGTCAAGAACAGATTAGATTTAGTTTGTTTTTATTTAATCAATCACAAACTTAAATAAAAAAGTAAATACATCTAATTTGTTAGTTTGTTCGTTTTTAACATTTTATTATTCCCCCACCCATTTTTATAACTATCAAAAAACTTGGTTCTAATTTATCTAATACTTTTAATATTCAAAAGGCAAAAACTTTCACATATAAGCACTAATTTTACCTGCACAGTTCAAACCTAAACCTTGATGCTAACTTTTTTACTTTAACAAATATATTCATATTAACGAAATGTGTTTATTCACCCATTTGAATTTTACCAATGCACTCATATCCTCAAATTAAGCCAACAATACCATTGAATTGCTTGTGTGAAACAATCAATTTAGTTTTAAGAAATTGATCGCAAAAGATGTACGGTTGGTTGAGGACTTACAACAAACACTTGGTGAGCATGATGAATTTAATGTCCTAATAAAAGACTTTTAATTCTTTTTGGAGTAATTCCATTGGAAGTAAAATTTACCTCTTAATCAACCCAGAGAAGGAAAACCATGGGAACTGCAAAAAGAATAGAGAGCCAAATCAGGAAAAAAATAAATAAAAAAAATCATGATTCAATGGGTAAAACCCTCATTTACGTGAGTTTGCAGTCATCATAAAAGATTGTGTATAAGAAGCTATGTTCTGAATTATGCAGAAGAAAAGTAACCACGATCATTAAAATAATCAAAGTTGGTTATAAGATAAAATTACCCTTCTGTTTACCTGAAGTCGCAAATTTGGATAATTATAGAAGAAGCAAACAACTCAACTTTGGAAAGAATTTCAACATTTTACAAGCTGCATGAAAGAAATTTGACTCGATTTCATACAACCAATTACTTAGGGTTTATAAAATTAAAGCATATAATGAAGGTATACAACAAATGAAATTACTTACGGGAAAACCAATTTGATTAGAAAGAAATCGTTTGCGTCTACTGTGGCGTATATCGAATCGACGCATCCTTTATGGTGGAGGCAGAGTCATCGACCGAGGCTATAGCAGACGTCGTGTGATCGGAGATGGATGTGACTTGAGGCGACGGCGGGAAGAATATGTGAACTCGTCAGGCGATGCAGACGATGAGGACAGAACGGAAGCATGTCAACGTTTAGGCATAGGGAAAACGAAAGCGCGTCGGCCATGGCGGTATGATAGAAGCAAAGTGAGTGATCGATCGACTGAAGTCTCCGGTGTAATCATAGAGGAATCGAGAACTCATAACTCCTGTGAGTTCGATTTGTGTGTCAATTTAAAGAGAAGATGGCGTATAGGCGAAACACGATGAAAATACAATCGAAAGTGGAAGAAAAGGATCGGTGGAGGGAGTGGTGATGGGTGGAGAAGAAACAGAAGAGAGAAGGTGGAGGAGTAGGTGTTTCTTGAAAGATGGAGATGAAGACGGTGGGTGTGTGGTATACGGGTGGCTGCGACCATATACACAAATCTGAATCTGATTAGATCAGAAAACGGTGAAACAAACACGCGCTCATCAAATTGAAACAAATTGACCTATTGCAAAGTCAAAAAATAAAATAAAGAGAAATTGACAGACTCGGGGATCATTTTTGTCCATCCTTAACAATTTTACTGTAGCTAAGAATGGATAATTTTAATATATAGTATAATAAAAATATTTAAAAAATCATAACTAACTAAAATTATAAAGAAAAAAAAGTCAAAAAGATTAAAAAAAAGTTATCAAATTGTTGAAATTGTATATATATATATATATATATATATATATATATATATATATATATATATATATTTTGTCACACCCCAAAAACCGAAGGCGGAAACGTTTCCGGGGTTGACTCCAAGTTGAATATCAAATCCAATGTACATAGTAAGCAAAGTAAACAACCATTACATTACGTATCAAAGTTTACATTTGTTCAAAGTAAAGTTGTACATTCATAATACATAGTATATATGAACGAAAGTAGAGACGAGTCTTCTGTACGCTCCGTCTTCTCCAAAAGATTCGCTAGGTACCTGTCTAATGTTGATCTGAGAATACAAGCAGTTTGAAAATCAGCATAAAGCTAGTGAGTTCATAAGATGTTTGCTTTGTGAAAATGTACGAGTTTCCTTTAGTTTACCGAAAAGTTGTTATCCAAGAAAATCCCATATTTTCTTAAAAGAGAAGGTTGATTGATTGTTAGGTTATACGGTTCTGATTGTTTAACTATGATTCCAGGAAAGTCCTATACTTTCCTGATTGTATATTACTAATTGTGAAAGATGTATAGTTGTCTAGTTTATTACTCCTTTTTAGTTATGTAATATTTCCCTAGGAAAGTCCCGTACTTTCCTGAAAGTAATTTTAATTATTGAATTTCGATATACTGATTTATTTACATTTGTACCTATTGTATTAACTATGTATTTCTGATATCCTAATGGTATTATATCGAAATATACTTAGATACATATCTTCATATTCGTGTTCTTATTCTTAAACATATTCTTGTACTTATTCGTGTTCGTATTCGTATTCGTAGTCGTATTCGTTTCCCTATTCCTATTCCTATTCCTATTACTATTCTCAGTCGTATTCGTATTCGCAGTCGTATTCGTATTCGCAGTCGTATTTGTATTCGTTCTGTTCCTAATTATAGTTTCGTTATCCATTCTGTTCCTAGTTATAGATGTGTTATTCGTTCTATTTCTAGTTGTAGTTTCGTTATTCGTTCTGTTCCTAATTATAGTTTCGTATTCGTTCTATTCCTAGTTATAACTTTGTATTCGTTATATTCCTAGTTATAGTTTCGTGTTCGTGTTCGTATTCGTAATTAGTTATAATTTGAAATTAGTATAAATTATTCGTGGATTATGAAACTTAGTTTAGATTAGAACATTTTATTAAGAAATCTATGATTAGTTTAAAAGCTAAATTCGTAATTCGAACTATTTGATAAACATAGTTATTGATATTAGAACATACAGAATGAAAACAATTAAACTAAAAACAATAAATTTGAGTACAAGATTTCCTTGTACTTTTGCTTGTATTCCCCCCTGAAAACAGTGAAAACAGTTGAAAAAGGGTAGGGGTATGAACTCACCGGACGAGAAATATGGCGATTTCGGATGCTAAGTGTTGGTCCGGGGCTTGCAAACACACGAGGTTCCTAAGTGTAATGTAAAGATACACATTTGTATCTAATTAGGATTTAGATTGGTTATTTGATAAGGACAATTGTTTCTAGTCGCGAAAACACTTCGATACAAGTGTTTGGAGGGACCCGGGTGGCGTTTAAGGACGGGAATTGAAGCGAGGGACTTGGGACTTGAGTTTACTCCCCATGAATAAACTTATACAAGAGTTTTTGGTCCAAAACACCCATTCCCCATGAGTTTACGGCCGTAAACTCATGGTGGGGTGGTTTATGGTGCAAATTTGGGTCACAAATGGATATGGACACTTGGAAATGCTTGGAATAATTTTACTTAAGGCTTCGATTGAATTAAAAACACCATTTGCAACACTTAAGGGAGTTTATGGCCTAGGCATGGGATCTTTGGCCGTAAACTCTCATATCCCTTTGATTAAGTGTTTTTAAGGTCTTAAAATTAATCACATGTGATTCTAAAAATTCCCACAAGCCTAGAAATGAGTTTGGGGCACCAATTGACACCCTTTTATGAGTTTACGGCCATGAGACATGTTCTGTGGCCGTAAACTCTCAAATATGGGGTTTTGATGTGTTTAAGGTCCTTAAACTATTTTTGGTTGGTCCTATGATTTATTCCAAGGCTTTTGGTGGTGTTGGATGGCTTTCTAACACCTTGAAATTGAATTCATACCCATTTTTAAGGAGTTTACGGCCCAAGCATATGCCTTGGCCGTAAACTCACACAAACCCCTCAAAAATGATGTTTCAAGTGTCCAAATGTTAATACCAATATTCTATAATTCATATCTAAGCCTTGTTTGTGATTTGGAAGGGTTTAAGGGCATGAAAACCCCATTTATATGAGTTTACGGCCCAAGCACATGCCTTGGCCGTAAACTCCTTCAAACCT